CAAAAGGTTCTAATACCAGACATGATTCCCGTGAGCACAGCATAAGGAACGATGAATAGTGTTAAGGTTGAAAATACACTAAATGTCCATATAAAAATGACAACTCCAACAACCCGCTGGCGAGTCCCAAGTGCTTGGTATCCAAGATAAAGTTAAACTGCCAAGAGTCTGTCCACGCTAATGGCCATGATATTGAAGAACGAAGTAATGGAAAACAACCCGATGACAAACACGAGTCCTAAGTAGAAGATGTAGTCTGGATCATGTAGCTGTAACCATTTGATAAAAAATGAAACAAAAAAGGGCTCCACCATCAAACCAACACCAACATCAGATAACGCAACACTCAGCAGCAACTTTTCAAAGGTTTCGGCAACGCAGACGTTTTTGCAATTCCATAGATTGTGATGACGTTTAACATGATAGCTGTGTAATATACTGTTACTATTGCAATATTTCACAGTTTGATTCAGTCATGATGATCTAGCGTTCAACTGCTTCCTTAGTAAGTGTGTTGGGATTAAGATTATCGCTCGAATGGAAACATTTCACTTGAAGGCTATTTTTGATATAAGGAGGTGGTCATTTGTGTCAATCGAGCTGAGAGAGAAGTTATGGACAGATAATGGTAATTAATTAATGTCGACCCCCAATGTCGCGTTAAACTGCCTGAAGCCAGAGAAGAAGCTCCTCTGAGGTATACGGAATATCTTTCAACGAAAAACAGAACGAGGCGGTTTTTTTCATATAAAATGATTAACAACGATATTGAAAATTATTTATTTAAAAAAAAAACCACCAAAGAGAACTTCAGCCAATCAAATGCAGCCATTTGAAGGTTATGATGCCCCTATGTTTATCATTGATTTAACAGTTGTGCTATTACACTGTTAACGAAGAGAGCTCTGAAATCAGTTGAATTGAATAATTTATATCTGCTTTTCTTTGGATTAATTTTTAATATACTCTTAACTATTGTACTTAATTTGAAAATAGTTTCTCCTATCAATGACTTAGCGAATTAAGAGTACTTTTTGATATTACATTTCGTGGACACTAACTTGAAGGTAGATCTCTTTATGTAGAGAATTACAGGACAGAATGTCTTCGAAATTTCTCTCGATAAAATAATGAGGCGATGTACTTTGAGTGCAGTGAAGAGACCTTACTCCTACCAGTTCTCTGTCACGCTCGACGAATGAATTCGAAGTTGGCAGCTGTTGTATTTTCTTTTCCTTCTAGAGCTACTGACAATGCCATTTGCGTTGATTGAATAATTGCTTGCACTTACATTATATTTACTGTACGTCAAATCTTCATGTGCGGTATACAAATTAACGAAAACGAACGGCATCGTTATTGGAAACGCCTGAGAGATTAGAAGGAAAGACAACAGCTGTTTACTTCAATATCATACTGAAAAAACCTGAGATAAGGAAAGAGGGAAAAAAATTTTCGTCACATTTTTTCTTTTCCTAACAAGCCTCGTCATTTTATTTCAAGTCATTGTAGTTGCAAAGAGACTTGTCCTGTCCCCCCTCCCCCGAGGAAAAAAATCGGAAAGCTTGCTGCTCAAGCATAATGATGACTTCCTTGAAAATGCAAGCCTTAACTCTTTCTGTTATTGACAGACCTAGTAAGTGCGCCGTTATTATATCACGATTACTCCATACTGTTCAGTTGACGGTGTGATTTACAGAGATGTCGCTCTATTGTAAGTTCGCCGCCTTCCAGTTCGCCCCCATCAACAAGTATTCGCCCCTTCACCGAAAAGCTGCTCAAATGACCTGACTGGGGATAGTGGTTTAACGATTGTCACAACTCCAATTTGAACGGGCAGTTCATGGGGAACACAAAAGCTTACAGTGGTATTGGCTGGGTTCCATTTAAACATAACTTCTCCTTAAAATTTGTGGAAATAAAGATGAGAACTTAGTCCTTCCTGAAAGAAAAAGAGAATGAAAGGGAGAAGTGAGACAAATGAAGATGAGAACTTAGTCCTTCCTGAAAGAAAAAGAGGATGAAAGGGAGAAACGAGACAAATGAAGATGAGAACTTAGTCCTTCCTGAAAGAAAAAGAGGATCAAAGGGAGAAATGAGACAAATAAAGATGAGAACTTAGTCCTTCCTGAAAGAAAAATAGGATGAAAGGGAGAAATGAGACAAATTTTAATTTGCATAAATTCGTGAAACAATTTTGAGTGCATTTATAAAGTATTTCTGACAAAAAATTGTAACGCGTAACTGTTTCGTCCACAAAAATAAGAGCTAAACCGTTGTGCCCCGTTCTAGATAACTAGCATTTCATTAGTTATCTCTCAGTTTGTACGTGGGCTATTATTGATAGATTTAGCGGCCTGTATATCACTGTGCGGCCCGCTAAACTCAAAGTTTTGTGGTGAAAACCATCTGAGGAATATAATGAACTGAAACACATGAAAATACTTCTCCGTGGCTTTCATTTGAATGGTCAAACGCTAGTGTTTGATCCACAGACTTTAGAAGTACTTCATGGTGCTTGATAAACAGTGCACATGGAAGAACTGCGAAATAGCTTTCGTTCGAACAGTCAAAATACAGGATGTTATCCAAGCCGGAACCACCTTATGCTGCACGATAAACTGTACCACATTAAAATACTACGCTGTAGCTTTCATTTAAATTGTCAAACACTAAATTGTCAACCACATTAATCTAGAACCACCCAGCACCTTTCATTTGAGTGGGTCTTATTCATGGGCGTAAAGGTAGGAATCCCTTCTCACCTCATTGCAAACAGCGACACATGGAAGTTCTGTCCATTTACATTCATATGATGGCACATACAGATGATTCCATTATTTATAGCACCAAATGAAAGTTTTCGTCTGGCATAATGGCACAAGATTCACGTGGAGTATTCTTATGCGCACAATATTTAGGGTTCTGCTTTTTTCAATACAACCTGAATTCAACATTCTCTATTTGCAATAGTGGACAAACTTTAACCAGCAGGTTATTTAGAGAGAAAAACTAAGGAAATCATTTTGTTTATTTATGAATAAAGTGACAATTGGCTTTAATTTGCTTCCGAGTAGTTGACGGATGGAGCAAAACTCTTGACCAATCACTTTACGATGTAAAGCGAAATTAGTACGATCCATGACACCGCGCATTTGCAGACTTCTTTTCACTTCTGGACGAAAAAAATTTATAGTCCTGTCATTTGCCTATTTGTTGTTTTTTTATTCTTTCTTTACTTACTGACCCTAACAGGCTAAAGTCTTTCATATTCAAACATAACATCGCATTTTCACCTCTAATTTACGTGTATTAAGTGCCGCTCTCGCTAAGAGCGGTCCTCTCGACTTCCGTTCGTCGCGTTACGTGTGCAAAATCTCGGGAGAAACTGCAAGAATTCTTTCAGGGTGTATGTGTGTTGTTTTGGTCAATAATACTGTAACGTATTTCAACTTGTTTGTGTGTCCTTTTAAGTAACGCGATATATCTGTAATGACTAGAGTGCCAAACTTTATTATTTAACTTTGATCTTCTCCACACTGTGCATAGTTCATGACCAGATATATATTTCAACGAAAATTATCGAGAAGGCGCCTTCCGATAACTTCTGTTTATTTTGTAAGTCACGCAAGCATGCAAGCGTTATGACCGATCACGTTTACGCAACGTTTTAGGGCAACTCGGCATCTATTCTCCATTCAGTTGTTATGAAAACCTGAAATACTCAACGTAGAGGATAAACAAACGAAGATTGAACGGTCAAAAGGGTCGAGTTTCAAAATTATGCAAATGCTCATCGACACGAGCGCAATTGAGCAAACACATGGGTTTGCGTTGTTTTTAAGATGTTGGTGGATGAAAGCCACAGATATACCCGCGGATTTGAGGCAATCAATGACCTCATTGTTGTATAAACTATACACTGATATGCTTTTTTTGCCCGATTAATGCCTGCATTTTGAGAATTCTTTCGTACAAATTGGTGAGTTTTGATATGCAAATAAAGGTCGAAGAGAAGGCTAATATTTCTAAATATTTCAGCTGAAGTTTCCATATTTTTTGTGTGAACTAATTGAAGGCACCTTGTAACTCGTAGCGAGATAGAATTCCGTGAGCTTTATCATTGCAGTCGCTGCGCTGGACAAGATCTGTGAAATTTACACTTTCGATCGCTGTCCACACAGGTGGTCTAGCCAAAAATAATTTTTGGCTTGTGGCGACGCAAAAAAAGAGAATTTCATGGGCAAAAAATAAAAGAAAACTTTTTTCCGACGGGAAGTCGAGAGGACCGCTCTTAGCGAGAGCGGCACTTAATGTTAAAAAAATACCAGCCCTCATTTTTAATTCACAACAGCCGTCAACATAAACAATAGCCAAGCTTCCTGTATTCTTTCCGTTTAGGTACTCTATGCAGAACTAGTGTTTGATAAAATGGCTTATCTGTATTTCTTTCGGTTGAATTATGTAAAAATACTGTGTCTTTGAAGATGTCTTCCTTGATTCAGACGAAGTTATTAATAAGGAAGAATACTTCAGGCGCTCTTTAATTTGACTGACTATAATGTTTCGCTTATTCATTTTGATAATATGTTAATGACAGCTCTCTTTTAAATTAGCTTTTTTCAGGTATAAATCCTTCTTTAGCTAAAATGTCTTGCAGCATTAAACAAATAATTTGTTTTAGTTCTAACCAACGCCGAGTGAAAGCGATACTCGATGCTTTTTTCAAAGATGTAAATGACAGAGTTGAAGACATTTTGACTGTACGTACAAATGGCTTCGATTGTGTTCTATTCTTGTGATTGACAGCTAAATATGACTTTAAACTTTCCCCATTAAAATATCGGAAAATATCAGAGCCACTATAGTTTTAACGCTCAGCTCTCATGGCGAAAAAAGTTTGCGACATTCTCAACGAGTCTCTTTATGGAACCTCAGAGGATTTTGAAGATTTTCGTTCGGCACTTGTCGCTAATTGTGTCTTCAACGGCTTTTTGTGTTATACAAACATCTTTTTTAACATTATTACCATCCATGCGACAAGGAAAACCGCGTTGTTGCCAAAACCTTTGAGAACATTATTACTGAGCCTAGCTGCCACCGATGTTGGTGTTGGTTTGTTGGTCCAACCACTCTACATTTCTACCTTGGTGAGCAGGTTAAAACAAAAACGTATCGACTGCATTTACGACAAGGGATTGTCCGTCGTTATCAATTTCTTTTGTATATCCTCGTTCTTAAATGTTGTAGCCATAAGTGTGGACAGGTTCTTAGCTGTTCATCTTCATCTCAGATATCAAGAACGTGTCACTCACAAGCGCGTAATTGCCGCCGTGATATCAATATGGCTGTTGAGCGTAATTATTTCTTCTAATGTCTTTTGGGATCCATTGTTTATCATCTTGCTGGTCATAGGGCTCATGATTATAACTGTTTGCCTCATTCTGGTAGTAATTGTCTACTGGAGGATTTATATAGTCTTAAAGCGACACAAAAACCAGATGGAAGAACTTCAAATCCAAGAAGTACAACAGGGAGTTCAAAATGGCGACTTATCAAACTTTTTGAAGCTTAGAAAGTCAGCTCTTGGAACATTTTATGTATGTGTTGTGTTCTTGATTTGTTACTTGCCTTCTTGTATTCTCTCTTTTTTATTCTCGGCTCGCCTTTTAAGTTCAATCTCTTACTACAAAGCTTGGCCCCATACAACGACTTTGTTTTTCCTCAACTCGTCTTTGAACCCTGTTATATACTGCTGGAAGATGGGACCCATTCGTCGCCCTCTCGTGGACATAATGCGAGGCATCGTCAATCGTTTCAGACAATAGCATTTGTTATGATGAACTGTTGTTGTAAATATAAGCTGCTAGAAATCTCCAGACTGCTTAATTATGCTGACATGCGTACCATCGAACTTTTTAGAACATTTGATCAAGTCACGCAATTGTTACGTAATACTACCAAAATAGTTCTTTTGAAAGCTTCTGGAATGTTCTAGAACACTTTGTGAATGTATAAAAGGACCAAGTCGTGTAGTGATGGTAGTAGTTGTTGCTGTCGGCAGTGGCCGACTCTTGAGAAAGCTTTACCTTGAGAGAGAGATACAGTGGGAGATAGCTAATTTGAAGAAACGTTGGAGAAAACTGTGAGTTCTGCTCAGTGGTGAGCTAAGATATAGACTGTTGTGTGCCTAAGTAAGTTTATGGAGGATAAGTACTAAACTGCTTCTAAGAGTCACTCCTTATTAAGAAATCACTCGTCAAATAAAGTAGTTGGGTCTGTTGGATTGAAGTGTTTTTCTGTCGGTTAGATTATACCGTAACGCATTGATTGGGTTCGTTTCTGATGCCAATTGACAGTGCATGGGATGAGAGCTGCTCGGCCATCGTCAAATTAGACTTGATCTGCCGAAAGTGAGTAAGGAAAACTGAGAGAGGATTAACTTTAACGGTTAGGAAAACTATGCAGTGAGGTACTATAAAGTCAAGCATAAGAAAGTGTCAGTCGTTAGTTTTAAGCGCATTTTGTAAGAAAACTTTGTAAATGACGAGAAAGCTTCCTCGCTACTTGAGTTATGTCATCATTTGACGCATGTATTTTTAATTGTCAATAGGATAATGAATTATCAGTAAGCTTGTGAAGTGCATGGCTTGTGAATTAAATTCAAAACCGATTTTTAGGTCGCTTTATTATGTAATAAGGGCCACGAGTTCTTTAGTATTTCACTACAGTTAAATATAACCCTCTTTGAATAAAGCCGTTACTTATTTGCGATCACCTATAGACTTCCAGAATTCAGTTGGTAGGTCTCTGATATAAAGAATGACACTAAGTCGACTAGACTTGATGGTTGTCCGTTCGAATGAAAGTCTCAACCTTGTCATTAGTAACCCGGGCACTTATTTACCTAGGCAAAGAGAGAAGGTTATACGTTTTATACAAATTACACGAAATACAAGGATCTCTACACCTTTCACTCAGACAGTTAGTCCGTTTTGAATTCGTTTTAGTCCTCAATTTCACCTATTTTTAAATTGTTCCCTGCGCCAATCACCGCTGTTCTCGGCTATCCTCGTTTTTTTGTTATATTGGAACTTTTTTTAGTGTTTGTCTACCACAGGAAACAAATACTTATTTTAAAATTAACAATACCCTTCGAGGTAAAGAGACCTCAGATTACATGACGTAGCTTCTTAATAACTCCAGTCGGCGAAAGATTAGTTGGCTAAGTGCAAAGAATGACGTCCGACTCCAACCTCGCTCCCAGGAGGAGGTTGGGTAAAGTCAGACCACAGACACCCGGATTGCGAATCACGCGCTTAGACCCACTTTAGTGATTGTTGGATTAAGGCCTCACTGCTGAGTGGTTGTTGAAGTAAGGCCTCACTGCTGAGTGATTTTTGAGGTAAGGCCTGATTGCTGAGTGATTGTTGAAGTAAGGCCTCATTACTGAAAGAAGTTAATTAATTTTTTTCTATATATCAGCCACGCTATTACTCTGTTTACATGAAAAGCTCTAAATCGTTTTATAGATTATATCTATTCCCTTTTCATACGACAAATTTCCATCATGCACTCAGCTATTGCGCCAAATTTGAAACTAGTTCCGTTTATCGATAAAAAACATTTTGGCCACTCAAATTAAGAGTATTTTTTGCAATAACATTTCTAATTCAAAGTGAGGTCCGATTATCTCTGAAATGATTTTATACGATTTATCCGAATTTTCTCGACATAAAATGCGACGTAATTGGTTTAATTTGGATGGGCTTTTCTGAAAGTTCTATTTATTCATGATAAGTAAATGGTTGCACATTTTTTATCAACTTATTTTAACTTAGTTTAATTATTTTCATCCACAAAGATTGCGAAAAAATAACTACCTCGTCCTCCTTTCCGTCGAAATACATTTCCCATCCCTCATTGGAAACTCTTCTTTGGTTTTCTTCCCCTTCTGAACGGTGTTGAAAGATTGAGTTCAGAAAAAGTAAGTTCAGTGAATAAAACTTGAACCTTCTACAAACCGAGCGCGTTCAATAAGGTTTCCGCGTTGCTCTCAATCAGTTGGCGTCCATGGTTTTATACACATTTGAGGACAGTGTTCAGAAGCAGGATAGGTTATTGTTTTGAATCTCGAGACCCAATAGATACTTCCTGATATTGCATGGTTTCTAAAACAGGAGCATAATTCTCCCTTCACAAAATCAGTTTTTCAAAGTCGAGCTTCACCTTGACTTAAGTGTCATTGATAAGCGGACAACGTCGAAAGTTCAACAGAGTCTTACGATATCCAAAATTTGACAGAGCCGAAAAATAAGACGGAGCCAGATTGATACCTTGCAAAGGAAGCTAAAATTGGATGGAGTTTCCATCTGGACGAGATCCCGAATGGAACGGAGACCTGAATTGGAACTTTTCAAATAACGGAATTCAGAGTCTGATTCCAATCAACATCAAATGAAAAACTGAATGCCAGAAAATGCCTCTTCAAAATTGGATTGCGCTTGGAATAAGACGGTGGATTGCAGAATGAATATCGCTCTCACCGTCCAGAATCATGGCTTACGATTGGTGTATACTTTTCGTTGTGTGTCTTTTATAGCGTGTCGAATTTGTCGCATCCTTCAGCCGAAAAATAGCAGGGTTTAGTGATTAATTGAAGAACATAAGCGCATGTCTATAAAGTGAAAAACTAGTTGTTACAATATTTGGGCCGGTAATTGCACGGGCAGCCAAAAGGATAAAGCGAAATAAATATCAAACCAAGAACGCAAAGTAAACTTGTAAAACACCGACAGAAGTTTTCATGATCCTTGCTTCATCTCGCTATTTTGTCTAACTTACGCCTCTAGACTAAAATAAGCATTGCCAAGATTGCCATAAGCACTACCCTCCCCATGCTTGTCTCCTACTTCTTTAGCTATTTTAAGATGTAGGTTGTGATACTCTATGGCTTTTTTGAAATCACCCAGACTGTCATAAGCATTGCCAAGATTGCCATGAGCACCACCCTCCCCATGCTTGTCTCCTACTTCTTTAGCTATTTTAAGATGTAGATTGTAGTACTCTATGGCTTTTTTGAAATCACCCAGACTAAAATAAGCACTGCCAAGATTGCCATAAGCACTACCCTCCCCATGCTTGTCTCCTACTTTTTAGCTATTTTAAGATCTAGGTTGTGGTACTCTATGGCTTTTTTGAAATCACCCAGACGGCGATAAGCATTGCCAAGATTGCCATAGGCATCACCCTCCCCACGCTTGTCTCCTACTTCTTTAGCTATTTTAAGATGTAGGTTCTAGTACTCTATGGCTTTTTGTGTCTGCTGCATTTGCATGCAGACACAATCATAAGCTGTAAAACGCGCGACCATTACTTCATATAAGATAAAATCGCGGATTTTCTCATGACGTTTCACCGTGGATTCCATTTCGTGACATGTTACATGAAGTATTCTCAAAGTGTAATACTTTCGGTAGCCTGTAATACTTTCGGGTGTAATACTTTCGGGTTAAATTTGTTCCTCTGGGGAATATTGGAACCAATCGGATTTGAGAAATGGACAACGCCAACAGCTCGTGGCACACAACTAATTTCCGGAAAGACTCGGAACCAATCAAATACGAGAAAAGGAAACGTCAACTTCGTTAACAACCATGTGCTTCCGTCCAGCTTTCGAAGGAAGAGGTCCGCCATCTTGTTGTATATTTCACGTGAGCTTATTGCAGTGTTTGTTGCTTGCTAGGTAAGTGATCTTTTCGTTTTGCATCTTTGTGATGGATTTCTTAAAGGGTATTTTGTCCATTTGCCACAGCATTCGCACTACTTGTTTGTCCGGCCGTGTGAAAGGTTTTGAAAGATGCTTTGAAGTTGTAGATCGATGGAAGCTTTCCTGGCGCCAACAGCATCACCACTCGGCGATATTGCGAGTGCCTTGGACACAAAATAAGCTTTATGAGACCCATTTGGGGAAAAGAAAGTCCCTTCGGGGAATAAATGAGCCCCATTTGGGGAGAGAAAAGCCCATTACGGGAATTATTGAGCCCCTTTGGGGATTATAAAAATCCCACTGAGGGAAATATGCCCTGTTTAACCCGCTGTTTGGGAAATGAAATCGCCCCTAAAGTGAAAATACCTTTCACTGGCCAGACATTTGCGAAAGCTGTTGCAATTTTTAACCTACAAGGGAAGTGTAGAAGTACAATTCATGATATTTGTTATCTAAGGATAGTTTCTAACAGATCTTTAAAAACAGATGTAAGATTTGTTGTGGGAGCTTCCATTGTTGATGTACCGCCATCGAAAGAATTCCACAAACATTCCCCTCGGAAAAATTCCAAGTTCGTTAAACAAGTAAAACGACATAGAGACCGAGAGCCATCTAGAATACCTTTGAAAAAGGTCCTAAATTATATGAAAAAGAGAAAAGCTAGAAGCAAGCTAAAGTTTATTTTTAAGAAATATACCCCTAAATCTTCAAGATTGTATGACTTGGTTACTCACTGTAAATTGTGGTATATACGGTATTTACAAAAATGCAACGCTTTTATTACTTCCTTAGTCAATTTTAAAAGACTGGCAACAAAAAAGTCAAAAAAAAAGAAAGCAAACTAGTAGCTGTTGTTCAGGTAAAATTAAAAAATCAACTTGCCCGGCTAAAACATATTGCGTATCAAGGATGAATCTTTTGAGATCAGGTGACGTTGAATTAAATCCAGGTCCCGAACAGAATGTGAACAATCAGACCAATTTGTCAGTGGATTCCTCAACATTGCTTAACTTTCGATTAGGACAGTTAGGATTGATAGCTTTAGATGTGGGTGGTGCAGGTGACTGCTTTTTTAAAGCCGTATCACATCAATTGTATGGTAATCCCAGTCATCACTTTCACATCAGACAAGCTGCTGTCCAATACCTCAGGGATAACCCTGAACGTTTCATTGAAAGCAACACTCAGAACTCATGGAATGGTTACTTGACAAATATGTCAATGCAAGGTACATGGTGTGATGCATTAATTGTACAAGCAGTTGCAGAATCACTTAATATACAAATTTATATTGTAGAATCTCACATAAATTTTGGAAAGGCAACTTTAATAGAGCCACGCCATTCATCATCACAGCAACCAAGAACAATATATATAGGTCATGAAAACGAAGTGCATTATGTATCAACAATACCAAATAGCTCTTACTCAGGAAATGAGCACTCTTACAGAAGTCACAATAGTGATTTCAATTTTACAGAACAAAATGTTCTTCCTGAACAAGTACACAATAGTACTGGAAAAAGAAAACGCAATAATTATTCCAATCTGAATGATGTTAGAATAACCACTAAGAGCAATGAAAAAAAAAGCAATGGAATTCTTACATGAATTATTACAGAAATAACAGAAGGGCTGGTAAAAAGAATCAAAGCTGTGAACGTAACAGTGATAAACAAAGTTCACCCACTAAAGAGAATACAAATGCTGTATTTGTAAATAATGGTAGTCGAAAAAGAAAACACAATTATTACCATCTGAACGATGTTAGGATAAGTACTAAGAACAGTGAAAACCATGAATGCAGATCCAAAACTCATGAGCAAAAAAATAAATGGAATTCTTACATGAATTATTACAGAAATAACAGAAGGGCTGGTAAAATGAATCAAAGCTATGAATGTAACAGTGATAAACAAAGTTCACCCACTAAAGAGAATACAAATGCTGTACTAGTAAATAATGGAAGTCGAAAAAGAAAACACAATTCTGATGTAAACAATTTAAGAATAAGCACTAACAGTAGTGGAAAAAATAAATGCAAATCCAAGACACAGGAGCAGAAAAAAAACTGGACTTCTTACATGAAACATTACAGAAATAACAAAAGGGCTACTAAAATGAATCAAAAGTATAAGTGTAACAACAAGAAGCAAACCTCAACCACTAAAGAAAATAATAATGCTGAAAGTCAAAAAGAAACAAACGAAAAAATACAAAACATGGCTGCCTTAATAATGAGGTTTCATGACATTGTGTCACAGGGCCCCTTATATATTTGTAGTTGTTGTGATCAGCTGTGGTATAAACACAGTGTTTACCCAGCTACTAAAATAAGAAAATCAAACCCTGCTGCTGAAAAATATCTTTTAAAAACAAAAAGTGTCAACAATAAAGAGTGGCTATGTAGAACTTGTCATAATTACTTAGCAAAGAATAAAGTTCCACCCCTTGCCATATTGAATGGAATGAGTTTTCCAATAAAACCTGAATTTTTTGACCTCAATGAACTGGAATGTAGGCTTGTAGCTCCAAGACTTGCATTTCAAAAATTAATGCAAGCTCCAAGAGGAAGGCAATTCAAAATAATGGAAATGTTGAAAATGTCCCAGCAGAAGTAACTGATACTGTCAATATCTTACCAAGGTTACCCAATGATGCTGGTACAATTAAAGTCAATTTAAAGAGAAAATTGCAATACAAAAGCTCAGCATTGTCTCTCAATATAAGGCCACATAAAGTTGTTCAAGCAGCCAATTGGCTAGTTAATAACAGCACTCTCTACAAACAGGAAGGAATAACTGTAAATCAAGACTGGGGAGTAAACAGTTTATTAGGTGAAACTAATCCTGAAAATCAAAATGAACAATCAGAAGAAATACAAAACACCAGTAGCTGCAATAAGCAAAGTAATATTAGTGGAAGTGATGTCACTGATAGTGATGATCAGTGGACTGAAGATGAGGCAGAAATACCTGCTGGTGTTACTGACACCATGTTGACGAACACAGAATTTGTTGAAGACAGTGAGCCTCAACATATATTAAATGTTGCACCAGGAGAAGGAACCAAACCCCTAAGTATATTCAGAGATCAATATTCTGAAGAATTAGCGTATCCTGGTATATTCCTTGGTCAAGGTCGGCCGGAAAATAAAGATAGACTAGTTAACGTTCATTATAGCGACATCTGTAAATCTGAACTAAGACGCTCAGATAGGAGAGCTGCTATGTGTGTTGAAAACATATTCTTTAAAACAAAAAAAAAACTTCAAATGAAAATTATGTTAGAAATCACAAGTTGCTCTTAGAAAGTGCAAAGGAAATAATAGATCTTTAAATGCAGGACAGTTGAAATGTGAAGGAGCAATAGAGCGCTTGATTCATCTTGATGAAGGATTCCAATTCTTGAGAGCATTAAGAGGTTCACCACCATATTTTGAAAAGGCTAAGAAAGATTTGTTGGCAATGATTAGACAATTAGGACCATCTTCTATATTCTGTAGTTTTTCTTCAGCAGAAACACAATGGATACATTTCCTTCGAATACTTGGCCAGGTAGTTGATCACAAAGACTTCACTACCAGTGAGCTTGAAAATATGACCTGGGATGAGAAATGCAGGCTTATTCAAAGTGACCCAGTGACATGTGCTAGACATTTTGATTATCAAATTAGTCAATTTCTCACGAACTTTCTTTTTGGTAAAGCTCAACCATTAGGCAAAATTTCTGACTGGTTTTACCGAGTAGAATACCAGCAGCGGGGCTCACCCCACATACACATGCTTATATGGCTTGAAGATGCACCAGTATTTGGAGTCAACGACGATGCTGCCGTTACAGACTTTATTGATAAAATAATTAGTTGTCAGTGGCCAGTTGATAATACAGAATTACATAAACTAGTGAACAGGCAAATTCACAGGCATTGTCACACTTGTAGAAAAAAGTCAAAGAATGAATGTCGATTTAACTATCCACAACCTCCTATGAGAGCAACTGAAATTCTTTACCCTTTAGAAGCAGAAATGCCACAAAATAAAATAAAACAGCACAAAGACACTTGGAAAATAATCAACAAGCAATTAAATGATATGAAAGAAGGCGAACCTATAACATTTGAACAACTACTTGTCAAATTAAAAGTTACTGAAAATGAATATCGACTAGCTGTGAGGTCATCGTTAAATTCACCAACTGTGTTTTTAAAAAGAAAACCGAATGAGTTAAGAATAAACAACTATAATCCTGCTTCCCTCGAGGCGTGGAGAGCAAACATGGATATCCAGTTTGTACTTGATGTGTATGCATGTGCCATGTACATAGTTTCATATATTTCTAAAGCACAAAAAGGAATGAGTGAACTTTTACGACAAGCATGTGCTGAAGCCAGAAAAGGAAATTCTAGCATAAAGCAACAAGTACGAGACATTGGAAACAAATTTTTAAACAGTGTCGAGATAAGTGCACAAGAAGCTGTTTACATTGTTTTACAGCTTCCTATGAAGAAGTCTTCTCGTCAAGTAATATTCATAAATACCACTCCTCCTAATGAAAGAGTTCAGCTTTTAAAATCAATAAATGACATTGAAGAAATGGATGATGATTGTGAAGATGTATATACCAATGGTCTTTTGCAAAGATATGCAAAACGCCCTTTCAGCTTTGAATACTTAACATTGGCAGATTGGGCTGCATGGTATGACTCATGTGGAAAACCATATGCAAAAAAATCATTCGAAAGAGATTCTGATAACCTTCCATTAGAAACAGCTGATGATGAACAAAATGACGATGACCTTTTTGAGGATAATCTCATCAATCCCAAAAGTAACAAAAAAAGATCAAAGGCTAGAATTATAAGAAGTGTTTGGTATAACTGTGAAAAAGATCCAGAAAAACATTATCGTGAATTAATAATGCTGTTTACATCATGGAGAAATGAGGACACTGATTTGTTAGCTAACTGTTCCTCCTACCAAGAACGTTTCATAAATGTAAAAGATAGTATAAATAAGCAAATGAAACTATATGCTGTTTGCAGTGAAGACTTAGACAAAATCCATGAACACTTGATTCATCTTGATGAAGACAATGATCATTTTGACTCAATAGCACCATTTACAAAAAACAGAGAATACCAGGATGAGGCTGAGGGTCTTCAAGATTTGCATCCTGATCTCAATGAAAACTATGATTTATCAGAAGATGTTGGAATTCCTTCAGCAATAGAAACTAGTGAACCACTGATACTAAATGAATTACAAGACCAAGAGTACAGACAATTGGTGCAAACACTAAATCAAAAGCAAAAGGAATTTTTTTTATCATATCTTGCATATTGTTAAAACATCAGACAAACCATTCTACTATTTCCTCTCTGGAGGAGCTGGAGTGGGCAAGTCCCATCTGGTCAAATGTCTATATCAAGCAGCACTAAAATATTACAACTCCAGAGCTGGTGAAGACTTCAATGATGTTAAAATACTGTTATTAGCACCAACTGGAAAAGCTGCTTTTGGCATACAAGGTAATACAATACACAGTACCTTGGCAACTCCAGCAAGCCAGTCACTAAAGATTTATAAACCTCTTGACTCAAGTAGACTTAACACTCTGAGATGTAAACTTCGTGCAGTGAAACTAATATTTTTGGATGAAATTTCAATGGTTGGCAATACTATGTTTAATGTACAAATAAATAACAGATTAAAAGATATTATGGGCAGCAAAGAACCATTTGGAGGTGTAAGCATGATAGCACTTGGTGATTTATTTCAGTTAGAACCTGTTATGGATGGTTATGTGTTTAAAGATATGAACAACTCAGAATATCGAGCTCTTGCTCCCAACTTGTGGCAAGAACTATATACAATGTTTGAATTAGAAGAAATTATGAGACAAAGAGAAAGCAAAGAATTTGCTCAACTTGTTAACAGGTTAAGAGAAGGTAATCACACTCCAGAAGACATTGCAAAACTTAAAGAGAGATGCATTTCAGAAAATTGTACAAATTACCCTATCGATGTCCCCCATTTGTTCATACAGAATTCTAAAGTTGATGAGTTTAATAGGAGAGTTCACATGGCTGCAACTGGTGAAAAGTATACAATAACAGCCTTACATAGTGTTGTGGGTGCTAACTCTGCAGAACTAAGGGATAAGATCTTAAAGCAAGTACCACTTGATCCTAGAAAAACTAAGCAATTACCTTTAAACCTTCAACTTGCTGAAGGTGAAAGAACAGAAATCGCAGTGAATCTAAGGACTGATGATGGCATGACAAATGGTGCTGCTAATATTGTAAGGAAGATACAATTACATGACAAAAACAGACCTTCTGGAATAATATGGGTAGAATTTGACCAAGCACATGTAGGAGGAAAAACTAGACATGATTACAGGCACTTATTTGTACAAGGTATTGAACGCAAATGGACTCCTATCAAACCTATCACTGCACAATTTGCAGTTGGAAGAAACAGAACAGCTCAGGTTGTGAGAAAGCAATTTCCATTGAGACCTGCAGCTGCTAAAACCATTCACAGATCACAAGGTGACACTGAGACAAGAATAGTAGTTAACTTTAACACCAGGAGAGCAATACCTCACATTCATTATGTAGGATTAAGTAGAGTAACAACTATAGAAGGGCTTTACATAACTGACCTTTGTGAGAACAAAATAGCTGTAAATCATGATGTTAAAGCAGAAATGCAACGCTTACGGACAGAAAAGCATCTCCACTTTTCTTTAACTCCTATTTATGAAATACATGAACCTACTGTTAAGTTATGCTTCCTTAATTCAAGATCATTGCATAAACATATAGAAGACATACGCAAAGATTTGAACTATTCACATACTGATGTCAGTATATTCTCAGAAACAAGGTTATATACTTTAGACAGCAATACTGCATACACAATTAGTGGCTACAGTTTATTTAGAAATGACAGTCAATGCACAACATGTAATACCAGACCTTATGGTGGAACAGCTGTGTATAGTAAAATAAGTTTTATTCCTGGGTATCCAGTTTGCATGAACACAAATGGCGTAGAAATAACTATTGTAAAACTTGAAAAAATACCACAAATTACCATAATAGGTGTGTATCGGTCACCCAGAGTGCCTGTACGACAGATGTGTTTAGCATTAACAGAACTTCTGACTATGAACTGTTCCCAATTTAAACTATTTATGGGTGATTTCAACGTGAACTGGTTAAATGAAAAAAGAGAAACTTCCTCTTTATAATTTGTTCATTAGAGAAAACAGCTACAGGCAATTAATATCATGTTATACAACTGACAACAGAACCACCATAGACCACATTTATACTAATTTACCTGAATCACAGGTGAATTTGCACATTTTAGAAACATATTTTTCAGATCATAAAGCAATCTGTGCATTAATTCGAACATAATTGCTGCTGTAGACAGCCGTCAATATTCTTGAAGCCATCGATAAATTAACCGTAAAAGTGTCAAAGAAACTAGAAATATCGAAAATAAAACTCTTTTGTGTGGTGTAACTGAGCTTAAAAGAGGATTCTGTTGCTTAAATGTTTCAAAAGGAAGCTTTAATACCACATCTGTAAATGAGCTCCAAGCGTCGTAACTTGGCCGGGTAGGATTAGTTATTTGCTTTGTATTTTATAAACAAATAAAAGCATGAGTTGACATCTGTAAATGAGCTGCAATCGTCATAACTCCAGTAGGATTAGATATTCGCCTTGTATTTTATAAACAAATGATAGCACGTGTTGTACGTAGTATTAAAACATGCAACTAACAGCAGCACTCATTTCTCATTGAGAACTGCTACATGTAGTTTAAATTTTCTTGTGTTGTTTGAGGTTGCTGTCTAATTTTGGATAGTAACCCTGAACGCTCTCTTTTCCCCGCCATATGATTAAAACTTACAAAGGCAAGTATTACTTTGCTTTAAACATTACATTACAACTTTACATGTACAACGCAAAAATACAATTTCTTTAATTAAAATATATTAAAATTTATTATCTTGCTACAAATATTCATTTTAAATCTCTTTCTCTCAACAGCTTTAACATGGACAAACCTCATGAACTAACAGGATATCTCCATGCTGTATCGCCAGTGAAGAAAAGCTCAAAATCAAGCTACTTTGAAATGTTACTTCAAACTGGCTCTGATAGTACCGTTAGAGCAATATGCTTTTGCCACAAAAAAAACACGATGACCTGAAAGCCAGAAGTTCAAAAAAGAGCCCTGTGAAGCTTAGCAACTTCCAAATGGATCTTAAATCAAATACAGTACTTATGGACAACAAAGTCCGAATTGACGCAACCGAGGTATCATTCGCACCAAAAGAAATACCACAAACAAATAACATAGCGTCACTCTCTGGTGTCCACTTCCAACAGCTGATAACAATTAAAGCGAAAGTTACAAAGATCAGTGGTACAAAAAAAGTAACTACAGCGAATGGAGAAAAATGTAAAGCTGAATGCTTCCTCAGCGATCCACCCGGAACAATAACATTAACTCTCTGGGAAGACAAAATAAATGAAGTCAGTGAAGGAAAAACTTATACATTCCATAACGTTAGAGTTATAAAAGAATACAAGTCTGACAAACTGGCCTTGGGCACAACGATGCATGACTGTACAGTGTCGGAAGCAGAGGACTTCATTGAATCCTTACCCCAGTCTGTTGAACTGCCTGATTCTTTTACAACCACAGAAGCCAAGGTTGAAGTCATTGGTCTGCTAACATTCGGAAAGTACCTTTCATGTTTACAGTGCCACAAAAAGGTAGCAGATGGATCTTTTACTGCCAAGATTATAAAATGTGGTAACTGTAATCTGACGCAAAAAAGAGATAAATGTATTAAGAACTGTTTTGCACAAGTTAAAGTTTCACAAGATGACAACCAGTTCACTGTAACATTCTTCCAAGAACAAATTAAAAAAGTTTTTAATATCTTACAACGTCCACAAACACTGGATGAAGAAAAGATAACAGAAGCACTCTTAGATGCTTCAATCTTAAAAATAAAATATGACAATAAATCAAAGATCATAAACGAGGTATCTCCCTATATCATTTGAATAGCTGTTCATGTACTTCCCTCATCATTGGCAAAGGTTGAAAACAAAAACGTGGGAAGTTCAAACCTGTACAAACAAAATTACAAAGTTCTTTTATTAATGCCAGATTTACGCTCACATACAGCCTGTAAAACAGTATACACAGGCAGAAATGCTGTTATAGTTTATTCCTATTAAAATCATTGTGTAAATGATTTCGATCAAAAAGTAACAACATACAACATTGAATGAGTGGTTCAGTTGCTATTAATTAGATTACACTTTATTGCAATTTTTTGGCAATTTCGTTAACTTTGAGTAGTTCCGTTACAGTTATTGCCCCTTAAACAGTTCTTGAAGTACCATTAAGTTTCGTTACAGTTCATTACAACATAAATATACCATGTGGAATTACTAATGTTTAACAAAATGAGTTGTGTTAATAAAAGCAATTGAATTACCACATTGTCTTTGCCACTGCGTTACGATTTTTTCCGGTACACTTATTTCCATACCTTTATATGTTACATGCAGTTCATTTTGAAAAATATTAATGCTAATGGACATACAACATAGTGAACACAAGGCAAAAAAAAAAAAAAAAAAAAAAAAACACCCTAGTATAAAAGAAACAGAAGTACTACACTTGATTGCATAAAATAAAACTATCCGCTCCCAGGAAACACCTTGCACTACCACATGTTAGCATAGCGGACCTTTTTTTAAAAAAATCACTGGAGTAACATATGCCACTGTTCTTTGTGAAAACGCCATCCTATTGCAGCAGACACAAGTACCCGTTGGGTACCTGTTTTTTTAAATCAGCCAGACTGTCAGAAGCATTGCCAAGATTGCGATAAGCAACACCCTCCCCATGCTTGTCTCCTACTTCTTTAACTATTTTAAGATGTAGATTGTAGTACTCCATGGCTTTTTTGGAATCACCCAGACTAAAATAAGCACTGCCAAGATTGTCATAAGCACTACCCTCCCCATGCTTGTCTCCTACTTCTTTAGCTATTTTAAGATGTAGGTTGTGGTACTCTATGGCTTTTTTGAAATCACCCAGACTAAAATTAGCATTGCCAAGATTGCCATAAGCAACACCCTCCCCATGCTTGTCTCCTACTTCTTTAGCTATTTTAAAATGTAGATTGTGGTACTCTATGGCTTTTTTGAAATCACCCAGACTAAAAAAAGCACTGCCAAGATTGCCATAAGCACTACCCTCCCCATGCTTGTCTCCTACTTCTTTAGCTATTTTAAGATGTAGGTTGTGGTACTCTATGGCTTTATTGAAATCACCCAGACTAAAATAAGCATTGCCAAGATTGCCATAAGCACCACCCTCCCCATGCTTGTCTCCTACTTCCTTAGCTATTTTAAGGTGTAGGTTGTGGTACTCTATGGCTCTTTTGAAATCACCCAGACGGCGATAAGCATTGCCAAGATTGCCATAAGCATTACCCTTCCCATGCTTGTCTCCTACTTCTTTAGCTATTTTAAGATGTAGGGTGTGGTACTCTATGGCTTTATTGAAATCACCCAGACTAAAATAAGCATTGCCATAATTGCCATAAGCACCACCCTCCCCGTGCTTGTCTCCTACTTCTTTAGCTATTTTAAGATGTAGGCAATGATACTCAATGGCTTTTTTGAAATCACCCAGACTAAAATAAGCATTGCCAAGATTGCCATAAGCAACACCCTCCCCATGCTTGTCTCCTACTTCTTTAGTTATTTTAAGATGTAGGTTGTGGTACTCTATGGCTTTTTTAAAATCACCCAGACTTAAATAAGCATTGCCAAGATTGCCATAAGCACCACCCTTCCCATGCTTGTCTCCTAATTCTTTAGCTATTTTAAGATGTAGGTTGTGGTACGCTATGGCTCCCTTGAAATCACCCAGATTGCGAAAAGCATTGCCAAGATTGCCATAAGCACCACCCTCCCCGTGCTTGTCTCCTACTTCTATAGCTATTTTAAGATGTAGGTAGTGATACTCAATGGCTTTTTTGAAATCACCCAGACTGTCATAAGCATTGCCACGATTGCCATAAGCAACACCCTCCCCATGCTTGTCTCCTACTTCTTTAGCTATTTTAAGATTTAGGTTGTGGTACTCTATGGCTTTTTGGAAATCACCAAGACTGTCATAAGCACTGCCAAGATTGCTACAAACAACACCCACCCCATGGTTGTCTCCTACTTCTTTAGCTATTTTAAGATGTAGGTTGTGGTACTCTATGGCTTTTTTGAAATCACCAAGACGGCGATAAGCCTTGCCAAGATTGCCATAAGCAACACCCTCCCCATGCTTGTCTCCTACTTCTTTAGCTATTTTATGATGTAGGTTGTGGTACTCTATGGCTTTTTTGAAATCACCCAGACGGCGATAAGCCTTGCCAAGATTGCCATAAGCAACACCCTCCCCATGCTTGTCTCCTACTTCTTTAGCTATTTTAAGATGTAGATTGTGGTACTCTATGGCTTTTTTGAAATCACCCAGACTAAAATAAGCACTGCCAAGATTGCCATAAGCAGTACCCTCCCCATGCTTGTCTCCTACTTCTTTAGCTATTTTAAGATGTAGGTTGTGGTACTCTATGGCTTTATTGAAATCACCCAGACTAAAATAAGCCTTGCCAAGATTGCCATAAGCAACACCCTCCCCATGCTTGTCTCCTACTTCTTTAGCTATTTTATGATGTAGGTTGTGGTACTCTATGGCTTTTTTGAAATCACCCAGATGGCGATAAGCCTTTCCAAGATTGCCATAAGCAACACCCTCCCCATGCTTGTCTCCTACTTCTTTGGCTATTTTATGATGTAGGTTGTGGTGCTCTATGGCTTCTTTGAAATAACCCACACTAAAATAAGCATTGCCAAGATATTCATAAGTACCACCCTCCAAATGCTTGTCTCCTGAACTTGCACTACCATCGTTATGACTAATAGGATCTTTTTCCTCCATGGACTTTTCTCCCATTTCTCTGACAGACTGAAGTCTAAATGACAACAAGATCCCATTGTTTTTGTCAATCTTCTTTATGTTAAGGGTTAAAAAGGTGGACAAAAGGAGAATATTATTTTTCTCATCATATTGGTATGTAATAGTCCATTTTTGCAGTTGCGTGCTTGGTTGTAAAGCCTCTGAAGAAGAGTGATGGCTAAGGGTGACCTTGTTATGATAAAAACATTGCTGCTTTTCAAATGCAAATTACTTTGATATTATTGTCACTAAATACTGGTCTCTATCACAACAAGGTCACCTTCAGCCTCACTCCAAATCAAAGGCTTGGCAACTAGGTACACAACTATAAAATGGTCTATTGGGAGGGCTTGTGTGAAAGGTAGATGTTTTATAAACATTCAGTTGGTTATGAAGTAAATCTACCCGGAAAAATTTTTTTTTCTATGTGCAGCCTCAAAATTTAACGCGAAATATCTAGATTTAATCCCTTGTTTCTAAAAACTGGGGAGCAGTGCTGCTCAATTTTTAAATTAATATAGCTTTAACATCAGACAAATGTTTTACAGCAGTGGAAGAAACAAGTGTACAACACAAATACATGCCTTTAAAAGTTGTTTTTGTCCATAGGAAAACATGACGAAAGTTTCCAGGTCTCTAAGTAGTTGAAAAGGTTAAATTCAAGAAAATCTGCATAGGATATGTAAACATTACCAAGCTTTTTGTTCTGGCTTGTTTAAGAGAGATCTGATCTACCCACGTACTATATATAAATTGGGTGAATATTTGACTTTTAACCCTTTAGCTCCCATGAGTGACCAAGAGAGAATTTTTCCTTACGAGAGCAATACAATATCATCAGATAAAAGTTGAGAGTAAAGAAAAATTTTAATTTGGGAATAATTAGTTGATCCAATACTGAATTCTCTGAACTAACATTACAAGAACTGAATATTTGACTTTTAACCCTTTAACTCCATTGAGTGACCGAGAGAGAATTTCTCCTTACGAGAGCAATACAATATCATCATATAAGTGTTGAGAGTAAAGAAAAATATAAATTTGGGAATAATTAGTTGATCCAATACTGAATTCTCTGAACTAACATTACAAGAATTGTACAGTTGACAGTAAGAATAATTACAAATTTGGTCTGTGAATTAAAGGGTTATCTAAACTAATGTACCAGTTATTGGCATGGATAGTAGAACTAAGTCAAATTGGCTAAAAGGAGTAATATCATTGATAAGTCACAAGGTAATAACTTTTCCCATGTCTTTTAATCACACACTCTTATAGTATGAGCTGACAAGTTCCCATCATAATTAATACCCTTCTTTGTATTTTCTCCCTTAAAACATCAAATTATGGAAACTTTTTCCATTATACCCATGGTTAAAAATGAAAGATTCCTTCAAAGGATACAGCTAGTCCCTTATCACACCAAGTGATTGCTTCTTCAAATCTCTTCAATTCAACACAAGCAGTGGTTCCTATGGGCAAAAATGTAAAGAAGCAATATATTATTACTGTAGCTCAATTCTGAAAAAAGAGCCTGAAACCATTGGAATCATTACAGGCCAGAAGAAAAAAAAATGACAAAACAAAACAAAGCAAAAATACTAAATGGAAAAGAATAAACAGGCCCTATCAGGTTTCAGTTAGATTTATTTAGCTTTTAAGACAACTAAAACTTCTAAGAACATTTAAATTGGGACCGACAATTCCTTACCTAAAGAGTTAGGTAAGTCCTGATCCTTACTTCTTTTTAAAACAGCTAGATAGTGACTTAACATATCTGACACCTGAACTAAAATACATGTGCTGAAATTTTGCTTTGCATTCTGCATTGAGTTCCTCATCCAGCTAAAAATAATATTCTCATCATAATTAATGGAAAGTAGTTGCGTAGCAGTCAAGAGCTGGATTCAAATGTACATCAGGGTCGTCTTGACCTCTTAATTAAAGTCAATTGAGACAAGATTGAGCTTCATCTAATCTCATTTAACCTTAGAGTGTTGAGTCATTCTTTTATTATTATTATTATTATTATTATTATTATTATTATAGCACAGCTAACATATCTAACCTCTCATTTAGCTTTTAAGACAACTGAAACTTCTAGGAACATTTAAATTGGGACCGACAATTCCTTACCTAAAGAGCTAGGTAAGTCCTGATCCTTACTTCTTTTTATAACAGCTAAATAGTGACTTAACATATCCGACATCTGTGACTACCTCACTCAGTGAGCTTAAGGAACTAAAATACTTGTGCTGAAATTTTGCTTTGCATTCTGCATTGAGCTCAAAATAATATTCTCATCATAATTAATGGAAAGTAGTTGCGTAGCAGTCAAGAGCTGGATTCAAATGTACATCACGGTGGTCTCGACCTCTTAATTAAAGTCAATTGAGACAAGATGGAACTTCCTCTAATCTCATTTAACCTTAGAGTGTTGAGTTATTCTTTTATTATTATTATTATTATAGCACAGCTAACATATCTAACCTATCAAAATTGCATTAAGGAAAGTTGGATTTAACTCAATAGCTGCTTCTGCATCCCTTAGTGTATCCTGGTGATTTCCTGTTATCAAAATAAATATCTCCGATTAGCCATACATGAAGCAAACCAACCACCACTCCATTAAAATAATTTTGGGAAAAACTTGTGATGCTCACTGATATCTGGGGTAAGGGGTTACTTCTTTGTATATTTGCGAGGCCTACTAAGATCAGATGTATATTTTTCTGGGCATGCATTAAAAATTATCACCTATCTCAGAAAACTACTGATGACAACTCAATAGCTTCAAAAGAAAAAAAAATGCATATTAAAGCTCTCATCATCTTACCGAGTTTAAAATGTGCCGAAGCCCTTTTGTTGTGCAGTTTGGCCTTCATTTCTTTCTCATTGCAGTTCATTTTAATTCCTTTGGTGTAAAAATGAATAGCATTGATGAAATCTCCTTTCTTGAAGGCCTCATAACCCTTATTCCTATAAACATCAGCTATGGCTGCAAAGAAATAATAAAAAATAACTTGTGTCAAAGTCTATGGTTGTAGTCAATAATTATCTGTGGTTGTAGTTAATTAGTGTATGAGCAGAGCTGCCAAGATCTGGAGATTTAAAATCTGAAGATTTTTCCTTTTGTGCCAGCTGCCACTTTTGCACCTGCCTGACTTGACCAATCCCCTGAAAAGCTTAGAGGATATGTGCAGACCCCCCCAACCCCTTCACAGGACACACCCCATTCAGTAAATTCATGAGGGATTTTTTGTTTGAAAGCTCAACCAATCAGACTCAGTTACTGTTGTGGTGTTGTTTGGAAGAAAGTGTAATCCCTACTTTGAAACAAACTAACTACAATCAAGAAAATTAAAATAAGAACCCTAATTTTAACAAAAGGCAAGATAACCTTAGATGTGGGAAATCTGGAGTTCAAATGTCATGTTTCTGTGTGGAACTGACCCAAATCCTCTTTTATCTTAAAGGTTTGACGACCCATATGACAGACCCAGAGTCTTGTTCTGTGTCTGTGAAACTCCCTGACAATCAGGGAGGATTGGCATATTATAAGTGTAGAAGAGTCTACTTAACCTTTAATACATTTAGATAGCTTATTAATGAGTCAATAAGATCCAAATGTGGCAGTCATAAAAACCAGAAACAATATTACTCATAGAAAAATAGTTATTATATAAATGACAAGAATAATGATAAAGAAGATGAGATTAATATTCATAATGATGTTAATAATGTAGGTGACAACAGGGATAATAATAATGATGAGAATTAAGCATGACTCTATTTGAAACAAACCCCACGGCATTTAAACTTTTGGAGATAGGTTTCATAAAATTCCTCTTCCACAGGCAAAATTAAGAATGTGTTCAAATGCCCCACACAATTTTTATACAAAAAACAAAATAAGTAGCAACCTGACTTTCAACTAATTGACCAAGCTTTAAAACCTAGACCTTGTAGACTTTTTTCTTCTGAGCCATTTGTTAGTGAAAGTTAACTATCTACCTTAACTCTTTAACCCCTAAGAGTGACCAGCATCTCACTTCTCCTTACAGTAATACTGCTGAATCATTCACTAAGCTCATGAGAATAAAGGAAATGATCACCAACCTAAGAAGCATTGATCTTCAAATGAATTCTCTTTTTCAGTACCAAAAGAAACATATAAAGACTAGTATGGAGAATATGGATACTGATGTTTGGGTGTCAAGGGTTAAACACCTCCATATTCAATGATATAACACTTGCACTCTACTGGAAATTGGTTGCTTGGGGGAAGTTGAAACTTTCAATTGATTGTTGCATAATATAATGGAAAGATGATGATGATGATGATGGTACTTATGATGCAAACTTACAAAATGGATGTTATATGATCATCAAATAAAGTCTTTAATTATTATAACTTTGTGTACTTGCTTTGAACTTTGAGAAAAGAAAATAACAAATATGTCATAGATCCTCTCAGTCAATGAACAGCATATTGTAATCATAGAGGAGTCATGACTGGCCAAATATCCTTTAAAGTGGTCAGGCAGTGTATATATTGTTCTCCACATCTGCTTACAGTCTTGAAACTGGTGGAATAGAAAACGTTTTAACAGTGACTGAAGCCAAAGTTGAACCTAGCTCACCTTGTAAAGTGTCCTCGTCAAAATCTGGAGCATTTTCTTTGTCAGGTAAGTCTTCATTTTCAGATGGAACCTTAATTGGACTTCTTTCTTTAGCCATAGCAACTGTAAGGGGATGCTTCTTACAAAAAGTTGCTGTTTTAAGTCATCCTGGCATGAAAAAAAGATGGTTGCAAATGGTAAAAAAATTAGCTCAACATATTACCCAGTTGTAAACTAAATATTTTTTCCCCTCTGAGAATGGGAGGGATACATAGACACAAAATCACAAGCAATTAATATTAATAGCATACTTAAAGCAGTAAAAGAACAAAAGATATATATACTGAAGAAAACAAGCATTAATATTTAAATGAACAGTAATTCTCTTCTCATTGCAATAAATTTCAAGATTTACTAAAGACATTCCCAATTGACTGAAATAACTTGGCCAAAAATCAACATCTGTGTGTTTCAAGTTCATATAATTTTTAACAGCAACAATTTAAATCATTTAAACTAAGAGGTGGTAGGTAGTTAGGTTGCGTCTGGATATGAACAGTGGTCCATCCAGGACCTGAGCTTTAATTAATCCTGGCTTCCTCACATGAAGCAACTGGGAGTATTATTACCCAACCCTGGAGGGGATGCAAGTCCATTCCACCGTTATTCCCTCCCCCCCTTTCACCCCCCAGCATTTTATCAGGTTTCCCTAACTAATTTTTGCTACCCATTTATACATGTACTCCTGGCTGGAGACAGGCACTGTAAGAGTAAAGTGTTTTGCACAAGAACACAACACATTGACTGGAACCCAGACCTCTTGACCCTGAGTTCAGCACAGGCCAGGTTACAAATGCAGACCTCCTGACCCTGAGTCCACCTCACTAAGACCACCACATCTCCACAAGAGGAGAGAGTTTATGCTGAATTCTTTCTCATAAGAAACAAATTCTACAACACCAAAGAAAAATTATCTCATCTGATTTCTAAATAGGGATTATACTGGTCAAAACTTATAAAAGATATATTTCTTTAATTCAATTTCTTGCTGTTGAGCTGACACCCATATTCGTATAGGTGAGGGTTAGTTCAACTGTTACACTTATTGCTGGAAAAGCAGTGAAATATACACATTTATGCATGCTGATGTGTGTTGAAATGGATTTCAATTTGGTACAGGTGAAGACATTTGTGGTTTACTGGTATATATATATATATATATCTCACTGATTGTTTTTGTATTCATTTCATGTTTACACTGTTTTGTGCACAAAATTGATTTGCCTTTGATGCTAACTTTAATTCTCCTAATAATCAAGATGGCTTGTTTTTTAGATATCAAATAATCCTTACTGGCTGTCTTCATGTACAAACAAATTCAATAAAAACTAGAGTAACAAGGAAATCAATTGTACTGGGATTTAAAATAGCCAGAGATACATATACAGTGTAGATTATTTTTACAAAAGCCAGTACTACCTTTTAACTAACCAGTTAAGCAACAGGGCTTTAATTTACTGGGGAATATTGGCCCAAGGTTGTGGCAGTATAGGAATGGCATAGTACCAATATTCCCCAGTACAGCTCAAGAAAGCATGCACTAATGGACTAAACTAGTTTGCTTTGAATTTACATGTTTTATGATTGTCTGTATGGTGTGATGATGATCTAGGTGGCAAAATCCTGACCAAGTAAGAACCAATCAGAACTTTTTATTTACCCCAAGCCTAGCTATATGATAACATAAATTATCACCAGACACATACTTGGATGCGTGCTGCCACATGCAGAACTAAACCAGTTTTGATGTGATCATTGATTGATCATATATTGATTAGAAGATGACAAAAGGTAAAACTTTACTCAGATACCAATCAATCATTACCAGTTGATGAATTGGACCCCTAAAACTTGAATGTAGTTAATTGAAAGGACGCTTCCAACAAATCACTAGCCGGCATTTGAAGAAAAATCAACTTGTCTCAATATTTAACAAGGAAATCAGTATAACAGTACAGTTTGGAAGGACAATCTAAGCAGTCTATCCTAAAAAAAAATTACTCTCAAACTATAAAATTATAAACATAAACACATGAGATAAGCTGTAAATGTTTATCGCTTTTTAATTAAATGCATCTTAAATACGGAAGGAATTTGAGTTAACACGTAACCCAGACACGAAAGCTTGCCCAAAACACTTTCGTGCGCATGCTCCACATGCACATGAAACGCAAACGAAACTGAAAGTGTATCGATCATCCGCGCTTGCACTAAATCAAATCGGTAATTTGGAGATTCCTTTTAACTCTCTCAAATTAATTCTTTTAGATGTAAATGCCAGGTATTGGCTGAGAATTTTTGTGAATTCGACGGTTGTAACATGTTCATGTAAGCTCAGCTCAATTAGCTTACAAGTAACACGAAGCGTCAATACAATTAATACACGCTAGAATCGAATAAAAGTTGGCAATCCTCGTCATTTAACTGCAGGAACGTCTTACATTACCGGACATCAGGGAAAATTAGGACAGATTGAGAACATTTGAAGGAGAGATTGTTAACTGAGGAACTCCAAATAAAAGTATTTACCTTATATTCACAAATCTGATTCAACCATGCGTTCTTACTTCGGTCGCGGAAATGGAAGGCACGTTTGACTGATTTACGACCTTGATTCCTCAATCCGTCATGGAAATGTTTCAAAGTAAGTCACCAAGACTGAGGAAGTACCAAGAAAGACTCGAAAGCTCTGTTGTAGAGCGAAGAATCTCAATGGCGAGTTGCGAAAATGAAAGGGAAGTCCTCTGGCCCATAAGTCTGTGCAAGCTTGAGGCCGGAAGTGCCTATTCAACGTGTTTATTTACATAAAAATTAAATATTTCTCGCACGATTCTCGTTTTTTTTTAAGGTTCACTACAATATTTCATCTCACTTTCACAAGTTCTCATTGGCACTCTTAAGAGCTAATGTCTCCATACATCAAACAAACAGCGGCAAGTCACCCAAATTTGTTTTCACTCTTACTTTCATATTTTGTAGCCCAGTATGTTCTAATAATTGTGGTGTAGTTTTTTTGTAAAAATTGTTTTAGTTTTCGAGAATTAATTTCTTTCGTTCGACCGCTCAAATATGCAAATTTTTACCGTGAATATTACCCGAGTTGTGTGACCTCATGTAACGAATGTACTGGACCTACGGTATTTCTGTGAACATAATTCTTTGTTTTATCATCTAAACTTAATCTCCTGTCGTTATTGAAGATGGCAAAGAAATATTTATTTTTTGGTGAATATTTTTGTCCGACATACTTTTCCTATGTCGAAGAGTAGTATCAAAACAAAGACAGTTTTAACAATGACCGATATGACAGAATCTACTGAGCTTCAAGCTTTTTAAAGACAAAAGGATGGTTATAAAGTTACTGTAAAAATTTCCTTGTGTATTTGTGTTGTTCTAGCTTAAGACGAACTCAAAGTCCGGCAAAATTTACTTGATAGCGTCTGTGAAATATACATGGTGCGCCTACTTGTCGCCACCGTTAACTGGCATAAATCACTACAATTTGCAAAAAAATCTAACATAACACTCTTACCTTGTTTATTTAAGATTTTATTAGCTGTTTCGATGATCACGTCAGAAAAGGTCGTCCAGAATGAGTGTTTCGTTCTGTAGTGAAAACCCCAATAAACTCACTCAGAAATGACTCGTTTCGAATAAATTTTACGCTGGTTGTTATATGGCAACAGGTATGAACTCGTTCTTGTACAAAACTCATTCGGATATCATGTAAAAGGTCTCAAAAAGTTTTTATTCCCAGAGCACCGCGCTTTGCTCGCCTGTCTGAATACTAAAAATTTCTGTAGCGTTGAAGCAACAACCCGCTTTTAACTGCTTCGCTGCCGCTGAAACAACGATAAGTGAAGGAAGCACATGTTTTAATTTTTTCAATTCAACGTAAACAAAAATCTTTATACATGGTAAATATTCACTTGTGTCGGTATCAAATGATTGCGTGACTAGCTTGTGATATAAATGAAGGAGGGGAAAACGCAGCGCAAAACCTGGGCTCCTGTCAAAAAGTAATACCCAGGCGTAATATAATAATCGAAACGGCAAATAAAAATCATAAATCAAGAGTGTTATGTTAGACTTTTCTACAAATTGTAGTGATTTATGCCAATACCACTGTAAGCTTTGTGTTCACCATGAACTGGCGGTTCAAGTTTGAGCAGTGACAACCGTTAAACCACCATTCCCCAGTCGGGTCATTTGGGTAGCTTTTTGGTGAAGGGGCGAATTCTTGTCGATGGGGGCGAACTGGAAAGCGGCGAGCATCCAATGGAGCGACACCTCTGTAAATCACACCGTCAACTCAACGGTATCTAGTTATCGCGAAATAGTAACCGCGCTCTTACGAGGTCTGCCGATAACAGAAAGAGTTAAGGCTTCCACTTTCAAGGAAATCATCACTATGCTTTTATAGCAAGCTTTCCGAATTTTTATCGGGGTGAGGGGGGGACAGGACAAGTCTTCTTAAGAATAGAAAACACGACGAAAAGTTTTTTCTCTCCCCCCTTATCTCAGATTTTTCTTTTTATGATATTAAAGTAAACAGCTATTGTCTTTTCCTGCTAATCCCTCGTTTCTAATAACGATGCCGTTTTCGTTAATTTGGATACTGCACATGAAGATTCGACGAATACCTAAAATGATATAAGTGCATGCAATTATTCAAATAAACGCAAATGGCATTGTCAGAAGAATGAAAAGAAAATACAACAGCTGTCAACTTTGAATTCATACGTCGAGCGTGTTACAAAACCAGTAGGAGTAAGGGAAATATTTCACGGTCTCTTCACTGCACTCAAATTACATTGCCTCGATGTTTTATCTAGAGAAATTTCGAATACATTTTATCCTGTGATTTTCTGGATAAAAAGATCTACCTTCGAGTTAGTGTCCACAAAAGTTAATATTAAAAAGTACTCTTAATTCGCTAAGCCGCGTCATTGATAGGAGGAACTGTTTTTGAATTAAGTACAATAGTTAAGAGTATATTAAAAACTTAGTCTAAAGAAAAGCAGGTATAACTCATTCAATTCAACTGATTTCAGAGTTCGTTTTGTTAACACTGTAATAGCACAGCTGATAAATTAATGACCAACTTAGGGGCATCATAATTTCCAAATGGCTACATTTGATTGGCTGAGGTTCTCTTTGGATGTTTCTTTTTTAATAAATAATTTTTAATATATTTTTTAATCATTTTATAAAAAAAACCATCTCGTTCTTTTTTTAGTCGAAATATATTCCGTTTACCCCTGATGAGCGTCTTCTTTGGTTTCAGGCAGTTAAAACACCTACTGAGCAAGCAATTGAACGCTAGATCACCATGGCTGAATCGAACTGTGAAATATTGCTCAAGAGTTACCTCAAAATCTCCGAGTTTGAAAATTTCCATTCGATTTTAGGTGGAAACTGTGTTTTTAACAGTTTTATCCGCTAAAATGAAAATGATTAAACAAAAGTGTCAAAATGAGTCGATAAGAACTGAAAAAAAAAACCACACGACCATCTACTCATCATGAAGCAATTATAAAGCCATTCATAAACGGACCTCGCTTCGAATTAGTGTCTAAGAAATGTTATTGTAAAAAGTACTCTTAACTTAAATAGCTAAACTGCTTCTTATCGATACGCGGAACTTGTTTCAAATTTGGCGCAATAGTTGAGTGCATGATGAAAATTTGTCGTACAAAAAGCGAACATATATAATCTATATAACTTGGTTCAGAGTTCCTCTTTTAGAGCAATAACGTGGCTGATCAAAATAGAAGCAACTAATTTCTCTCAGCAGTGAGGCCTTACTCTAACAATCACTCAGCAGTGAGGCCTTACCTCAAAAATCCTCGAAATCTATGGAGAACTTTCTGAGACCACTCCAAAATTTTCAACGGGATTTAGCACAATATATAGATTTAGCAAATCCTAAAGGCGGAGCTTCATGTTTCACTTAAGTTTCCTGGCGCTTTTAGGTTACGCATACAATAGAGCAAGCGCATTTCCTTTTCTCTTTTCATTCTACTAATGTTGTGCCTAGAGTTGTGTTCGCAATAGTTATTCCTGCATGTTTAATATGGTAGCTTTTACAGAGAGGACCTTCGGTCACGTAACCGACCAAACACCCTCGGTTCTATTGGAAAAAATTTTCTTATCATATTTTATGCGCGCGTGCTGCGACCTCGCTAGGAGTACTACGATTGCCATGGCACGCCCATTATTTAAGACTTCAATCCTTTGTTCGACTGTAAAAGGTCGAGATCAAGGCTCAGGAAAATTGTATTCAACCACCTTAAACGGTTGCCTACGAGTACTGGGAATTTGTGGACAAAACAACGAAGATAAAAATCGCGTAAATTAATAACTCGGAAACGGCGGCTAACAAATGGACTGACGTACTTTACTCGTCCCGAGAGGGCTTTTCGTACATTGTATATACACGCCTATAGCCCGAACACGGGTATATCCACAGTTTTCCTCCGTACAGCTCTACGTCGAGCCCTTCTCTTTTCATAATCCTGGACCCTCTCAGAGTTGTATGCATCACAGACTACCCTTGTGAGTCTCTTCCATTCAGCTCTGTTGTTCATGGTTGAAAGCCACTAATCTAAGACATGACCGCACTTCAAAGTACTTTTGCAGGTGTCCTTGAACCGAAGCTTGGGTCGGCCTATAGGGCAAGAACCATAAGCCAACTCACAGTACAAGAGCTGCTTTACCGGCCTATCATTGTCCATTCGACAAACGTGTCCTAACCAACGCAGATGGGTCCTTACTAACATCACCTCCATGTCTTCAACGTCAGCGCGTCGCAACACCTCTTCATTGCTGATGTAATCGTCCCATTTGATGTTTAAGATGAGACGTAGATAACGCTGTTGTATTGTACGGAGCTGCATGATTTCATGTTGATATAGAGTCTAAGTTCCATACATCAGAAGTGGCATTAGACATTGGTTTTACACAGCGACTTTAGTTGAAGCTGTTAGATCATGCGAGTTGAACACTCTCTTTCGCAGTCGATCAAAAGCACATGACATTACTTGAATGCGAGATGCAGGTTCCTCCTTCATAGAGCAGTCGCTGCTGATATAGCGAGTGATGTTAGCTAACTTGGTACCGTCTACGAAGAAATCAGCTGTGTTACCAATACACATAGTCTCTGTTTTGATCGTGTTGATGCACAGTCCCATCCTCTTAGCAACGTCATTATAGGAGGTCAAAAGCGATTGCAGACCCTCTGGCGTGTCACTGAAAATAGCAATGTCATCAGCATACTGAGCTTCTCTGATAAACTCTGTAAGGGCTTTGGTTTTTGCTTTAAGCCTGCGTAGGTCAAAAAGATCTCCATTGTAACGTAACCTGATCTGTACACTGCAAGTGTGTTTGATTTTCTTGAAAGCAAGCCATAGTAAGACTACTGCATAGATGCCAAAGAGTGTTGGAGCTAGTTTGCACCCCTGCTTAACCCCACTATTGTATTCAAGGGATTGGGTCAGTTCACCATCAACTATAAGTCTGGCGTGTACATCTGTATATAGCTTCTTGATGATTCTTATAAACTTCACCTAAAATGATAACGCTGTCCATTTCGGCAGCTGATACACAGCTACCGAGCATTTCATAGAACTGTTCCTTTCCTTCCTGCAGTCTTTGCATGGTTGGTGCATAAACGCTGATGAGTGTTAGATTGTCGCCACCCTTAAGCTGTATGCGCATTGACATGAGTCTGTCGCTGATTGGTGTA